CTCTCGCGGCGCCTCCCGCGTCCCCAGCCAATCTGTCCCGTCCGCCCGCAGCCCTCTGCCCTCCCCGCCCCGCCCTCCAGGGGTAGCCCCGACCCTGACTCTCGGAGGCCCGCCCCGCCGAGGATGCCCCGCTTTTCCCGCCACCGCCTCGCTCCCCGCGGGGTCCGTGGAGCCTCCGCCAGGGACACTCCAGAGACCGGGGCGTGCGTGAACTCCCTCGGGGTCCCCTCCCGGGACGCGGGTCTTCCGGCGGCTGGAAGCCTCCGTCTCCAGCTCGCCCGGACCTTCTTCTCCCCTCCCGCCTCCAGACTTTGGAGGCGAGGGCGCAGGAGCGCGCCCTCAGGCCCCTGCCCACCAGGGTCGAGCTGAGGGCCAGGAAATCTGGGGATTCCCCCAACCCCCCGGGGGCTTGCCCGCCCGCCTCCTTCCCCTCCCATCTCCTCAGGCCTCGAGCCTCTGGGCTCTGACAATGAGCTCCTCTGTGCTGCCTGGGGAAGGCGGGAGCGAGGGGGACTTGGGATGGTGGCTGGACGTCGTGGCTGAGGGGCGCAGGGTCCCCGGATCGGGGTCCTCCTGCTGCAGGGCTGGGCACGTCCGCGGACGTTTTCTGGGCCCTATCCTCGGGGACCCTTCCTCCCGCTCCCTATCTCTCCCTCTTCAGCTAGACGAGGGGAGGCACCCGGCCCTCGGTCGGGGGATTCCGTACTGGATGCCAGACCCTTCGTTCCAGTGGGGTGCGACGGAGGCGCCCAGGCCCGCTGGGGCTCACGGCGCTGAGGATGGGTGTCTGGCGCAGTGGACAAAGCGGAGTAGGCTAGTTAAGACAGTTCTAGCCTCACTCCTCCGGCCTCACCAAACCCTGAGCAGCCTCCATCGCGACTGGGTGGGAAAGGAAGGCCGGGTGGGGGTCTCCCAGGAGGTCCAGGGGAGGCGCGGGCACGGCCAAGAGCCGGCCCGCCCCGCCTCTGAGCCGGCAGCTGGAAGCCCCGCAGCACCGCGAGCCCTTCCAAAGGCTGCGCGCTTGAGAGGAGATCAGACGGCAGAACAGGCCGCAGAGGGGCGTGGAAGCATGCGCCCCTGCAGCTGGGGGCGATGTTTAGAAAACGTCCTGCCTCGGGGGCAGTTCTAAGGAGGCCAGGAGGCCAGCCCCTCCGGGCGGTTGCTGGAACACCGGGAGGGGAGGCGGGGGTGTCGCCCAGGTGACGCGCTCTTCTCACCTCTTCGGGACGCCAAACGTCACCCTTTTCTCCGCTCGGCTGGATCTGGCAAAAAGGAGAGAGGAATTGTTCATCCTTCTTGGAGACGAAGAAAGCCCTCGGCTCCAGAGCGTCAAAGAATAATCTTAGGCAACAAATCCCAGTGACCATCTTCCCAGCAGAGCTAGAGCCCTGGAGTTGGAGCTCTTTCCAACAACGGGTGGTGGGACCCGGGAGTCACTGAGACTCTCCTGCTTCCTTGTAATTAGTGCCCGCGAGCTAGGAGAGTGAGATCTTGCTACCCCCTGGTGTCCACTTCGTAAGTGCTGCCCCGTAGCTGGTTATAGGGGCCAGCACATAGAAAACGTTTTTTTGTTTTTTGAGTTGGAGTCTCACTCTGTCCCCAGACTGGAGTGCAGTGGCCTCTCCCGGCCACCGCAGCCTCGACCTGCTGG